TTTTTTTTAAACCTTGTGACATGTCACCTATTTCCATGGTGTCAATTACCATCAAGAGCTAGGACTTCTCAGATCCTTCTGGGAGTCCAAACCTTCTCCTGAGTCCCAGCCCTGGGTCTCTGCATTCCCCTCACCCACAGAGGCCACACTGCCCAAATCTCTCATCCTCCTGGGTTCCCCATCTTGAGGATGACCCACTGTGTCCAAATCACCAGACTGCTTGTTTAGCAGCCATCCTCCCCAAATCCATGGGTCCCCAGGCTCCGCCTCCTGCCCCACCCCGTCCTCTCTGTGCCCTGCTGGGCAACCTGGCTCCGGCCCTTTCCTCTCTCCCTGTCAGACTCTTGACCCAGCTTCCTCCTACTTATCTTCACATAGTCATCACACAAGAGTGGACCCCACCCCTCTACTTGATGTAGGGCACAGAGGACAAGGTCCCAGCCAGTCAGGGTGCCCTCTAAGGCCCAGTGAGGTCTAGCACCACCCTCCTCTGCAGCCTCCTCTCTGGTGAGAACACTCCTTGCACTCTGACCTTGGCTCCACTTTAAGCCACACCACACCATCACTGGGGGGACTTTTCCCATGCTGTTCCTCTCTCAGAATGCCTTTCCACATGCCTCTCTCAAGCCCACCTTTGCCTGTCGAACACCAGCTCTCCTTCAGATGCACTTCACGGCCCTCCTCCTCCCGAAATCATTAGTGATACACTGTCCCCTCCCTAGTCCTAGCCAGACACCTCCTCTAGGCTCCCACAAGTCCAGTGGCCCAATCTGGGCAGCTGCCATCCCCTGGCCTTTTAAGAATCACCCTCTATGTCGTCCACCTGCTGTCAGATTCAAGGTTCCTAAATTTTCTCGAGACCTCCCTCCAGTGAAACGTTTGGAGCATTCACACTCATGAGCATGTATTCATTTATTTATAATTTGCAAGCTGTACCACACGGAGATAATCAGTTCATAACAAGTAATTTGGGAACGTGTAAGTTTCCCATGCCCCAGGACTGACCCGAGGACAACTAGAAAGTATGGACTCACTTGAAGGACCATCACTGGAGACCAGGAGCTCCTCCAGGGCAGCAAGCACCCTGTCTAGCTCAGGCAATGTCCCCGACCACTCAGCACAGCACCCACACGCTGTGGCAATTGCTACTTTCAAGAGGGAATTGTAGATATTTTCCAATGCTTATTAGGTGTTGGGCACTGTTCCAGAAATCTCACAGCATTAACTTGCTTAATTCTCACCATTATCCCAAGAGGGAGGGTAGTTTTTATGCCCAGATGACAAGCAAGGCCCAGAGAGGTGAAATGACTTGCCCAAAGTCACAGAGGATGAGTCTCAAGTGAAATTGGAAGCCGGCAGGCCCGGGGGGATTTGCTGAAAGCACCTCTAATCTTGGGAACGCCACGTGAGGGTTTACTGGATGGATCAAGGAGTGAACGAACGAATGACTGAAAGAGACACAGTCAAAAGAGACAAGTGACAGAGAGACAGACACACAAGAAACACAGGGAAAGAAACAGGACCGAGCCCTGGAGCGTTTACACGGACCCTGAGTGAGAACTGAGACTTGAGGTGTCTACACAGCCTCCCAAACCTCCGCGGGGGAGCGCCAGCCGCGAATGCCCTTGGGGTCCGGGGTCCTCCCAGACCCGAGGCGCGGAGGGGCGGGGCCTGTCTGCGGTGGGCGGGGTCAGCGGGCCCCGAGGCTCCCGGGCGGTCCCCGCGGGCTGCTCACCCGGAATCTGAGAGGTCAACTATGAACGTCGTGCAGATCTTCTTCCTGAAGATCTTAGGGATCCAGCTCTGGAGACCGGAACAGGGAGGGGACGGGACCCAGTTCAGTCCCGAGGCACCTCCGGCCCCACCGCCCACACCCGAGCCCCGGACCCCAGGGCGGCCTCCCGCAGACTCGCGGGTCTGCACCCACAGCCCTCCTGCCCGTCCCCGGAATCCTGGCCCCCGGCCTCCCTCTGACCCGGGAGCCGGGTCTCCAGCGCCTGTCTCTGGGCACCAGGAGCCCGGGCCCCCGCTCCGCGCTCCCGGCCCGGCCCGCGCGGTACCTGCTCCTTCTCGGGGCCCACCATGCTGCCGCGGCCACGCAACGTCCGAGCCCTTCGGGCTCCCTACAGTCCCTCCACGCCCTTCCAGGCCCGCCCTGCACAAACCGGATCCGCCACTTCCCTGCCCAGCCTGGGGCGGGAGTCCCCGAGACACGTCAGCGGGAGGCGGGGAAAGGGCTGCGATACAGAGACAAAGGGGGGACAGCCACCCAGGGGTGCAGAGGTCCGCGATAGAGGGCGTGGGGTGAGAGACAGGGAGTGGACCTGGGCATCGGGACCACAGGTGCAGAGGAAGGAGAGGGCTCAGACCCAGGGGGGCGGGAGATGGGGGGGGCACTTTGACCAGAGACACAAGGGAAATGGAGACCCAGAGAGAGGGACAGAGACCCAGAGAGAAGGAGGTGGGAGGTTAGAGACCCAGATAAAGGACACAGAGATGGAGAGAAAGATAAGGAGAGGGGACATATTGAGGGTGGCATGAGACACAAAGACTTGGATGGTTGGCAGAGAACCATAAAGGAGTGGGAATGAAGAATTGGGGTAGTGTGCTCTTGACCCAGAAAGAGAGGGAAACAAAGACTTGGGTGGGGGACCAAAGTCCAGAGTGAGGGGGGAACAGAAGGGGGGATACTTATGGAGAGGGAGCAGGTGACAGAAATGAAGGATGGAACCCAAAAAGAGAGATGGAGACCCAAAGAGTGAGGGTCATCATGGAGGTAAGGAGTGGGTGCTGTGGACACACAGAGCCAGGCAGGGCTACATATCTCCTGCCAGCTCTTGCTGACGGGGACAGCTGGGGCCTTTGTAACCTGACCCCCGCACCTCCTCTCAGCTGTATTTATAGCCCTGGCCTGGTGATGTCCCCTACCCTCAGATCTGAGTTTCAGGGACAGGAGGTCACGGGTATGTGTCTTTGGGACAGGCCGCTTCAAAAAACCATTCTAGGGCCTGGCTAGTGGCATCCACCTTCTTACCAAGCATTCCCCTCTGGCTGGAAATTCGCCATAATTACACCCTAACCCTTCCATTGAGAGGTCTCTCCCTCTGACATGTTGCTCCTGCCCTCCCCCAATGGCTCTAGGCTTCCCCAGCTTGGCCCACTGAAAGTCTAGCCTTTATCTTCTCAGCTGCCAACATGAGCTTGTTTGCACTATAAGGTCAAGTCCCTCAGTTTCCTCTCCCACTCAAGGGAGAGACCCCTCCATTTAGCCCCTCCCCAGCGGGATGGAGGATCAGAAGAGGAGGGGCAGGCAGGGAGTGACCCAGAATAACTCAGGCTAAGAGTAAATTTAGCCACAGAGAGGGGAGGGGAGAGACCCTATTGGCTGGGCAGTGGGGAGGGAGGACCCAAGAGGGGGGTCTGGGACTCCAGAGACAGCCTCAGAGGGGTGTCCAGGGCAGAGAAAGGCAAACGGACAGAGATCAAGAGAGAAAAAGTGAAGGAGAGACACAGAGAAAGAGTCAGACCCAGAAGGGGACAGGACCCCAACCTTGATCACACAGCCTCAGAGGCAGCTGGAGCCAGCCCTGGGAGAAAGCCTGCTGCCTAAACGTCCCCATGGGCCACCCTGGGCCATGGCTGCACACTTCTCTCCTCTGCGCCGCAGTGGTCAGCCTGCTCCTCCCTCCTGCCATGACCCAGCAGCTGAGAGGGGCTGGGCTGGGCCCCAGCAACTGGAACAACAATGCAAACGTGGCAGGGCCCTCAGAGGACGCGTCGGCCGAGGTTAGCCACCGGATCTACAGCCACGGAGGCCACCGAGATGAGAGTGAGGATGTTTCCACAGAAAATGGGCATCATTTCCACAGTCATAGAGACCAGAGAGGGGAGGATAAGGATGTCTCCAGGGATTATGGCCACCAGCACGGAGCCCACAGGTACCAAGGCCAAGAGCTTACAGATGGGCATGTCTCAGAGGAGGTCTTCACAGAGCAGGCTGAGCAAGCCCACGGGCACAGAGGCCATGACGAGGAAGACGCAGGGGACTCAGCCGAGCATGAGAACCACTTCCCCAGCCACAGGAGCCACAGCGATGAAGATGAGGACGAGGATGACATTGTATCCAGTGAGCATCACCATCGCAGCCCCAGGCATGTGCACCGGGGTCCTCGAGAGGGAGAGGATGATGAAGGAGAAGAGGAAGAAGAGGAGGAAGGGGAGGAGGAAGTCTCCTCTGAGTCTAGGTACCAGGGCCACAGGCATCAAGGCCATGGCAGTGAGGAGGAGGAGGACATCTCAGATGAATACCACCATCATGTCCCTGACCATGGGCACCAAGGCCACAAAGAAGAAGAAGATGATGATGATGATGATGATGATGATGATGTCTCCGCTGAGTATGGACACCAGACCCACAGGCACCGAGGCCACGGGAATGAAGAGGAGGAGGACATTTCAGATGAACACCACCCTCATGTCCCCAGCCATGGACATGGAGATCACGAAGAAGATGATGATGTTTCTATTGAGTCTGGACACCAGGCCCACAGGCACCGAGGCCACGGGAATGAAGAGGAGGACGTCTCAGATGAACACCACCATCATGTCACTGGCCATGGGCACCAAGGCCACAGAGACAAGGAAGATGAAGATGAGGACGTGTCCACTGAGCATTGGCACCAGTTTCCCAGACATGGCCACCATGGCCTTGGGGACAAGAATGAGGAAGAGGAGGAGGAGGTCATAGACAAGCTCAGCCAACATGTTGCAAGGCACCAACCCCAAGGCCACAAGAGCGATGAGGAGGAGGACTTCCCAGAGGAGTATAAAACAGACGTCCCTGTCCATCACCACCCTGGCGTTTCAAAGGAGGAAGATGAGGACATCTCTGCCGAGCTTGGCCACCAGGCCCCCAGCCACAGGGAACAAGACCACCAAGATGAAGGGACTGATCATGGTCACAGAGGATCCATTCAAGAGGAGATTAGTCATCACTCCCCAGAGCACATGCAGGTTGGGAGGGAGAGTGACTCGGGAGAGGAAGAGGATGACAGCTCCCGGGAGGGAGAGGATGAAGGCTCTGAGCAGGGGGTGGAAGAAGCCCACCACCTGGCCCAGGAAGACCAGCAGGACGAAGAGGAAGGTCACGGCCTCAGCCTGAGCCAGGAGGAAGAAGGGGAGGAAGATGAGGAGGAGCAAGAAGACAGGAGGGAAGAGAGGGCTGAATTTCTGGTCCCACCGAGCCAAGATCACAGAAAAGAGGAGGAGGAGGAGGAGGAAGGCTTAGAGGAAGATGAGCTCCCCTTCACCATCATCCCTAACCCCCTGGCCAGTAGGGAGGTGGCTGGGGATGGCTCTAGTGAGGAGGAGAGTGGTGAAGACACAGGTGAGTGGCCCCTGGTGGGGGTGGGGAGGAGTGAATAAGGCTGAGTCACCCTGCCTTTCTGTTCCCACAGGTCTGCAGGACACCCAGGAATATGGGAATTATCAACCAGGGTCCCTGTGTGGCTACTGCACCTTCTGTAATGTATGTCCTCCACCCAGATCTACACACCAACCTGTCCCATGGAATTTGTCCCAGGGATCCTGGGGTGCCAAGAGAGGGCTTTGAGCAAGGGCAGGTCCAGGTGAAAAAGATTTTTTCTAGGAAAGACTGGAGGCCAGGAGGCTGGGGGAGGAAGTGGAGGCAATGATCCAGAAAGGAGAAGGTGAGGCATGAACTGCACCTAGGGGTGTAGGACAGAGACCAGGGTCCATGGCCAAGAGTCGTCTCAGGAGAGTCAAGAGGGAGGACTGACAGCCCATGGGGAGAGCGGGTAGGGAGAGATGATGAAGAAAGCACTCACAGGACCAGCCCACAGTGACCAGGTCATGTGGGGCCTCCCTGAGACAGGGAACCAGGGGCAGGATGGAAGCAACCTAGGGGAAGGTACTGAGCTCAGTGTTGGCCGTCATGAGGGTGAGGTGAGGAGTCTGTGAAATGTCCAAGAGGCAGGAGTGGATGACGGTTGTCTCCTAAGTGGGCTTAGGGTTTCCATCTAACCAGGCTCCTCTGGTCCTCAGCGATGCACTGAATGTGAGAACTGTCACTGTGACGAGGAGAACATGGGAGAACACTGCGACCAGTGCCAGGTGAGACCTCTCCCCAGACTCGAAGCTCCACCAGGCCTCAAATAGCATCTGAGAACACCCAGGACTAAATCCTGGCCTCTGACTCCAGACCGACTCAACCCCTAACACCTGGTGCATCCATGACACCACACTCTATACCTCCCTATAACTCTGCAACCTCAACCTCCACCTAGCCTCAGGCCCCTGTCCACGCCCCTGTCCTGACCGCGTTCTCTCCCTGTCTCCGCCTCTCCCCCAGCACTGCCAGTTCTGCTATCTCTGCCCTCTAGTCTGCGAAACTCTGTGCACTCCAGGTGAGCACCGGCGGGGCGGGGAAAACCTTGTGGAAGAGACCTGGCCCGCCAAGGTGAACCCTGGTGGAGGCGGAGCCAAACCTGAGGGACCAGCCTGGAAGGCTCATGGGGCGGAGCTAGGCGTGGAGGCGTGTCCAAGGCTCAGAGCATGTGGGTGGAGCAGGTCTGACACCAAGAAAGAATAAAGGTTGAGGGGCGGCCCTAGAAGCGAGTGGGCGGAGCCAAAGCTAGTATACGTCAAAGGGGAGGGGCTAGTGGAGAATCAGCTGGTCCGGAGCAAGAAGGGGCGTGGCCTTCCAAGGAGTCCCTGTAGGAGTTCAATTTGAGGCAGAAATTAGGGAAAAGGGGTAGGGGAAAACTAGCCCTAGTCCCGCACTTACACTGAGTGTCCCCCTAATATCACTCGTGGAGTACCCTTCTAGCCTCATCTCTCTGCTTCCCACAGGAAGCTACGTCGACTACTTCTCCTCCTCCCTGTATCAGTAAGTGTGTGTGTGAGGGGTCGGGGGGGCACTTTAAGGGCCCGGTCTGGAGAAGCACTGTCCACTCTAAGTTCCTGGATGACCCTGGGACTCCATTTCCTTGTCGGAGAAGTGGGCAGGGTAATGATCTCTAAGCGTCCTGGCGTGAGCTCTGGACACTGGCCATCTAACCTCGGCGTCCTCCTCTCCAGAGCCCTGGCAGACATGCTGGAAACTCCGGAACCCTGACCTGGTCGCGCGGCTGCATCGCATATGGACCTCCCCCTGCCCTCCGCCCCTAACCACGAGCCATATTTATTTCTCTGAATAAACGTGCTCCCCGAAACCTCATTTTCAGACCTGGGGTCGATTCTCAGAGCTCCAGGGAACATGGGTGGGGGGAAAGCCTGTGGGAGAAAGGGGTTGGACTTTTGGGTCCTCCGAGGGAGTTTTTTTCTTAAAGTCCTGACCCCCCCACACACCACC